TCTAATATTTATATGCACTAAATTCAAATTCAAAATGAGCATAATCTCACTAGAGCAATTTTCTTACTTGAAGGAAATATTCCTTCTAATATTTACATGCACTAAATTCAAATTCAAAATGAGCATCAGGATGGTGATGAAATACTGAAGTAAGAAAAAAAACATCAATAGTCTCTTTATAAAGTCATGTGTAGAATCAACTCGCTCTAGTTTCTTTTTAGTATTGTTTCTCATTTATACCTAAGTCACAAATTCCATTAGCCGTCTCTCCCTAGTTCAACCTCTGTTCATAATAAACATGCTATTCTAGGATGTAGACTGTTTAGGAATGTGAGCACACCTGTAAAATATTCTGAAAGTAGACTTCTACAATGAAAATGTGCAGAGTAGAAAAATAGAAAATATTCAAATGCTAATTTCCTAGCTGTTCTTCTTTATAATAGAAAAACTAAGCAGAGTTTTTCTAACCAGGCCTAATGAAATAAACCTGTTTTTCAGATCTTAAAAAATTGCCATGTTATGCAGATTAGCAGGAACCACAGAATATTGACTAATTCCATGAATTTCAACTCAGATAAGAATGACTGAGTACCTGTTAGGTGCTAGCTATCATGCTAGACCCTTCAGGGATGGGGATTCAAAGATAAGCAAGATGCAGTTCCTACCCCTGAGATCAGTCCCCCATAAGCAACCTGGAGCCACTGTGAGATTTCAGTAGGTGAATGGCACGAACTAACTTAGAACACAAAGCATATATGATCAGAATACAGGGAGCCTATGAAAGAACTGTTAAAGAGGCTGAATTTTATTTTATAAAAATGGTAATAATAGTAATTAACATTTATGTAGACAGTTTGACCAGTTGTGAGACCCCTGCAAAATCCAGATGACCGATGGGATCCTGAACTAAAGCAACGGAAGTAAGATTGGAAAGAAATAAACAGACATGAGAGTCACTAAGTAAGTGGAAGCAACAGAACTCGACACTTGTGGTTGTGAAGGGTGAGAGTTGGGGAGGGCTCATCCATTGACAGGAAGGGCAGCAATGACACTGATGGATGAGCAGGATGGAGGGAAGTTGAGCACTGGGTCTGTTGAATATGAGGAGACAGGTAGAAGTATCAGTATTTTGTGGGGTTCACCCCAGCAAGGTGACAGCTTTTGTGTAGTACCTCACCTCTGCTCTTATTATGACAAATACAAGGAGCTGACCCTTTAGATATATGGAAATCCAGGCTTACAAAACAGTCTGGGTTTAAAAAACAAAATAATCTCTACTTGGGATTTCCTTAATACTGAACTCTACAGTTTAATCAAGAATTCTGAAGGGAAAATTTGATAGGTATTAAGAATTAGAATCTCAGTGGAATCTCGATAAATTATTTTGGGATTGAGAAAATTTGTATTAAAGCTTTCTTACCCGATGCTAAATAATTTAGAGTTGGCAATGTGTTGGATAAATCAGATTTTCCTTCAAATGATAAGTTACTTCATTAAAACCATCTTATTAAATTTACTTTCAAACTTGTGAAGTAGCTAAAGGTACAAGTATTAATCAACTTGTCTACACTTAAATTTGAGAGCAGTGATGAGTCTATAAGTGGTGGAACTTGGGTCCACTATGCATTTACTACACAAGCAATTTACATTTGGTTCAGTTCCATGGTCAGTTCTTCACAAAAAGTCTAAAGCCCAACTGGAACATTCCAAAGTGATGAGGGAGTCCACAGTAGCTGGGGTGGCAAGGGGGTAGGGGCTCCACAAATTCACACCACTGCGATAGATGGATGTAAGCAGATTGGTGTTAAGTGGGTTTCCAGTTCCCACCATCTTTTTCACTCTTGAGTGCTTCTTAAGGGTAATGTGATTTGATTACTAATAGGGGGCTCTGGACACACAGAAAGAGGATTATGTTCATAGGAAGAAGTTAATTAAAAGAGTTATAGTAGGAAAGGGTCATAGGCAAGCCTACATGGCATTTATCAAGCTGAAATGGCTTAAAAAATTATTTAATTCAGCATTGTTCTGTTTAAGAGTTAAACAGAATATTGGAATATTGGGCTGTCTCTAGGAAATTAAATTTTTTGGCTTTTAATGATCAAGATAAAGGTAGAGAATTTAATACATCAAATGAGTCAAAGATTTTTAGAGCTGAAAAGGACTTAAACATTATCGAGCTTAAAATCAGTGGATAGAAGAATGCAAAGTTGAATAAGGTCTGTGGATTAATTAATAGCATTGTGTCCATGCTAGCTTCCTGGTTTTGATAATTGTTCTGTTGTTCTGTAAGATGCTACCATTGAGGGAGGCTAGATTAAGGGTATTCAAGGGCTCTTTGTACTATTTTTGCAACTTTTCAGTAAGTCTAAAATTATTTTAAAATAAAAAGTTAAAAAAATTATCTAGCCTAAACTTTCAAAGAACCTAAGGCTCAAAGGGGTCCACTTGCCTTCCTCAAAGTTACACAACTATAATAAAAGACACCCCAGCTAGACCAGCTATCTTTTTTTTTTTAAAGATTTTATTTATTTATTTGACAGAGAGAGAGATAGTGAGAGCAGGAACACAAGCAAGTAGAGTGGGAGAGGGAGAAGCAGGCCTCCCACAGAGCAGGGAACCCGATGCGGGGCTCGATCCCAGGACCCTGGGATCATGACCCGAGCCGAAGGCAGATGCTTAATGACTGAGCCACCCAGGCAACCCTAGACCAGCTATTTTATAATTATATTAATTCTTTAATTTCAATTCAGCTAGCCAAAGTATAGTACATCATTAGTTTTTGATATAGTGTTCAATGATTCACATTAGTTGAGACTATCACCCAGTGCTCATCATATTACATGCCCTCTATAATTCCTATCACCCAGTTATCCCATCCCCCACCCACCTCCCTTTCTGCAACCCTCAGTTTGTTTCCCAGAATCCAGAGTCTCATATGGTTTGTCTCTCTCTGATTTCTTCCCATTCAGGTTATAGTAATTCTTGATTAGATTATGCTTTTCAATGTCTTTGTTGACACTGGAATTACTTTTTTTTTTTTTAAGTCTTTTTTTCTTGAGAGAGAGAGAGCGTGTGAGTGGGGGGTGAGGGGGGGCGATGGGAGGGACAGAGGGAGAGGAAGAGAGAATCTTAAGCAGGCTCCACACTCTTGGTGCAGAGCCTGATGTGGGGCTCCATCTCAGGACCCTGAGAACATGACCTGAGCTGAAATCAAAAGTCGGATGCTTAACCGGCTGAGCCACCCAGGCACCACATCGGAATTACTTTTAAATTGCACAAAAGTTAACTTTTTTCCCTCACTACAGAAAATACATAATTTTTAAAATCCAGTAACCCAGAGGAAAAACAGATTATTATTCCTCTGCTATTTAACATGCCAAGAAAGTTTTTACTTGTAATGAATATAATTTTCTTTTTCAGGTGATCTATTTAGTTCTTTTAAAAAATCTACCTGCCTATTCTTTTATTTTTATGATACTTGGTTATTGCCTTACAGTTTCAATTCCTTCTTTTGTGTCTTTAAATCATTTTAATATGCTTGTTTCATAGTTGTTATGATTACTCCTTTGTTTGAAATCCTTGGAATTTTAATCATTTTGTTCATTTTTCTTATCATACTATGGATTATTTCCTTATCTGTAATTTTGAATTCTGAGCTATTCTTCAGTGGTTTAGGCTGTGAGAATCCTGTGATCCAGAGTTGAGGGTGGACATTCCACAACAGTTTTTACCAGTTTCTGCAAGGGACCCAAGAAGTATCATCAGCCTGAGATTAATATTCATATGAATGTCTCAGCTGTGGCTTTCTCAGACAATGTGCACAGTATAACTTAACCCTGGATCTGCAGGAGAAACAGGCCTGAAGTTCTGCTTTCTTGACAGACTTTTTGGCTTCAGTCTGAGCCCTGGGAAACACAGGTAGGTTTCTTTGCCATCACTCTGGGCTGGTGCCATTCTTGTTTTCTATTCTGTCCCTCTAATTGAAAGTCTTTCCAGAGTCCCAGTTTTATATAGGATCATAACTTTCTACCTCTGCACGAGCATTACATCTCAAGACCCTGGGTTACTGGGACACATACAAGCCCTCTCAGGGAAGCTGTTCCATCAGCTCATGCCCAGACTGGCTTTAAGCTACTTCTCTATTTGCTACCCAGAGATTTCTCTCTATTCTTGGAAGGTCAGCCATGAGTGCCCTACAATTCTTATCTTTTACCCGGCACTTCTAGATGATGGTGACGAGGGAGAATTTTCAAGTTATCATACTCTACTATCTTGCTAGGAGTGGAAGTTAACAATGGAGATCTTTAAAAATGTTTTTATGTAAAACTCTTTTTTTTTTAAAGTCTCAACAAGAAGTCTGGTGATGTTCTGGAGGGGGCATAAGGTGGAGTTTGAGAGTCTGAGCTTCAAAATTAAACTGAAATTATTAGCTATATATGCTAAAATGAACCATATCTCAGCAAGTTACTTACTCTGTAAAATGAACTTATTTTAAAACTTAAATTTTGGATTTCATATATACTAACAGGTCTACATTACTTAGCACACCACCTCGTATATAATATGTGTATAGTATGACAGTTATTTTGACTATTCTGTGTTTAAATGAGATGTGTGAGGTATTAGAAAGTCAGTTGTATTGGAATCACAACCTTGTCGCATGGCATCATACCAAAGCAAGTCCAAGACTGCTGGATACAATGATGAGATCATGACAAAGGGAAAAAAAAGTTACCAAATTGTGGGTGGTCCTGGGTAATTTTGTAGATGATTTCTGAGGCACTGGCACCTGGAGCTTCAGCCTGTAGGATTCTGTTGGTAATTTGCAGCATCCCACCTTCTGGAACCCACACCATTGAATTAGCCACAAGCCGAAGACCTGCATCATTCTAGAATAAGGAAAGAGTACACTATTAAGTCCAAGCCAAAATATATATATATTATGATTACTCCTTTGAAATCCTTGGAATTTTAATCATTTTGTTCATTTTTCTTATCATACTATGGATTGTTTCCTCATCTATTCTGTAATTTTGAATTCTGAGCTAATCTTCAGTGGTTTAGGCTGTGAGAATCCTGTGATTTGGAGTTGAGGGTGGACATACATATATGGATTATGTTCTGTTTAAGACTTAAACAGAATATATATCAGCCCTTAAAAACATAAGTTATCAGATACTATTGCTGCCAGCCATCATCTAATAAGAGATGTTCATAGCTCTGGAGTCTATGAACTATGTATGTCTATTATATGTAGATATATGCATGTGTATGTACATATGTACATATCCTACTTTTCCCTTTACTTTATCATAAGCAAATAACTTATTTCATTCAGGAAGACAAGTCTCTCCATTTCTTTCTTTCATTTGTCCATCTCACTGTCCTTCCATCCTCCCCATCCTCCCACATTCAAACACTATACATTAAGCACCTATTATAGGTCAGCTCTTTTGCCAGAGGCCTGAGATATATAAGAATGCCTAAACAAGATGTCAGTTTCAGAACTTACAGTCTAGTGGTCCCCCCATAGACAAATAATCAGGATGCATCACAAATGATGCTCTGTAAGAAGCTTGAGCAGGGTGCAGTGGGAGAATAAAGGAAAAAGGAGGTTTCCTCTTTGAGGGAGGAATGCTCAGGAATGCTTTCCTATGGAAATATCATTTAACTCTTGAATGACCAAAACATGGCCCTTCTAAGAGACAAGTGGTGAAACGGATTCTGTGCAGAGGGCCCAAGCGAGGCAAAGACATGAGGCAATGTACTGTGTGCTTCATAAAATACCCAGGTGTCTGGGCAAGAAGAGTTTATGGAGCCAGAAGAGGGGGTGAATAAAAAGGGACACTCTCTTAAGGTTGGCGGGTAGAAGGTAAATGCTGTACTAAAAGTCTTCATTTATCTTGTAGGCCCGGTAAACTCAACATGTGTCTTCATGGAAGGAAAGGGGATGAGCAGGTCTGGGGTTTATAAAGCCTCCATCAGCAAGAGATGGAAGGGGCTAGAACTGACACGTGTCTGGGGCTGTAGAAACCATTTGACAAATTCTTGTAATGGCTCAGGTGACAGAAGATGAAAAAGTCATCACAGCAGGAATGGAGAGTTAGAAACAGTTTCCAGAAACACTAGAGGCCAAACTGACAGGCCTTGATGACTGATTGAAAGTGAAGCCTTAGAAACAACTGTTGGGAATAGCTGACTGGAAGAAATCACCTCTTTAGCACTCCTGAGAAGGCAACCATTTTAATTGCTAAAGCTGATGTCATTAAAAAAGTGTTGCCATTCCTGATTTGCAAGGTGTGCACCTCTTCCAAAGCCTCATAACTGACACTTTCCACGGAAGGAGATTACTGAGCCTGCCTGTCTTCAGCTTTCAGTTTGTTTTCATACTTCAAAAATGAATAAATCTGGTATCTTAAAATGGGGCATTTCAAAGGGGATGTTTTTATAAATTACCGTTATTACTTTCAAATATGCCAATAAACAGAACAAACACCACTCCCAGGAGGGGCATATTCAGAGCAGTAGGCAACAAATATGCCTTCACAGTCACTTGACACGAGAGCATTTGCCCCCAACAAGAGGTGGTCATAGCTATTCTCACCACAATTACCGGGGAGCCGAATCAAACAGTGCCCAGGCGAACGGCAGCAAAGTCACCTTCTATTGTGATCAGTGCTCAGGGGCAAACTCCCAAGAATTTTCTCCTTTCACAACTGATACAGTATATTAGTTACAAAAACATCCAAATGTGCCAAGAATTTTTCTCCATTCCGCCCCCCCCGCCAGAACTGTGGGGGGAAAATCCCTATTAACTTCAGCAAGAGTTTCATAAAACATAGTACACTTAGACCCAGTGTCTTTTTTTTTTTTTTAAAGATTTTATTTATTTGACAGAGAGAGAGACACACACACAGCGAGAGAGGGAACACAAGCAGGGGGAGCAGGAGAGGGAGAAGCAGGCTTCCCACGGAGCAGGGAGCCCGATGCGGGCCTCGATCCCAGGACCCGGGATCATGACCTGAGCCAAAGGCAGATGCTTAATGACTGAGCCACTCAGGCGCCCCGACCCAATGTCTTAATTGCTAGAAATCTCTCTAATAGAAGCAGCCTCATCAAGTTTGATCATGGTTACAGAAATCCATCATATACCAACAACCACATTCTGGGACTGATGAAGCAATGTGTTTTTTCATATTCCAAGCAAGTAAGTACTGGGACCTGAATGCATGTCCCCAGATGTCTCTCTCACTACATTTCTATCTTGGCTACACTTTACCAATACAATTCTCTAATTCCTGTGTGAGTGTAAATCTTTAGCAGACAGTACCCCTTATATGTCAGTGTTAGGACAAAGGCAACATCTGGAAGCTTATTACAAGTTCAGAATCTCAGGCCCCACCCCAGATTCTGATGTAGAATCTGCATTTTATTATTTTTCACCAGCTTTACTGAAGTATATTTGACAAATAAAGGTTGTAGATAGTTAAGGTGCACAACGTGATGTTTTGATATACGTATATGTTGTGAAATTCAAGCTAATTAAGAAATCTATCACCTCACATAACTACACTTTTGTGTGTGCATGTGGTAAAAACACTTAAGGTCAACCCACTCAGCAAATTTCAGGTATACAATACAGTATTTTTTTTTTAAAGATTTTATTTATTTATTTGAGAGAGAGAATGAGAGAGAGAGAGCATGAGAAGGGGGAGGGTCAGAAGGAGAAGCAGGGAGCCGAGCAGGGAGCCCGATGCGGGACTCGATCCCGGGACTCCAGGATCATGACCTGAGCCGAAGGCAGTCGCTTAACCAACTGAGCCACCCAGGCGCCCCTACAATACAGTATTAAGTATAGCCACGATGCTATATGTTGTATCTCCAGAACTTATTCATCCCTGGTAACTGAACCACTATACCCTTTGGCTACCTTTGACTAACATCTCCCCATTTCTCCTACCTCAGTCCCTGGCAACCACCATTCTGCTCTGCTTTTATGAGCTGGACTGTTTTAGATTCCAAATATAAATGAGATCATGCAGAATTTGTCTTTTTGTGTCTGGCTTATTTTACTTAGCATAATGTTCTTCAAGCTCACCCATGCTGTCACAAATGGCAGGATTTCCTTTTTTAAGGCTGAATAATATTCCATTATATATGTAGAACAGATTTTCTTTAGCCATTTTTTTAAAAAGATTGATTTATTTGAGAGAGCAAGCGAGTGGGGAGAGGGGCAGAGGGAGAGAGAGAGAGAATCCTGAAGCAGACTCCCCGCTGAGCGTGGAGCCCAGTATGGGTCTTGATCCCAGGACTCAGAGATCATGACCTGAGTTGAAATCAATAGTTGGTCACTCAACCGACTGAGCCACCCAGGTGCCCCTTTCTTTAACCATTTATCCATCAAGAGACAGCTAGGATGTTTCCATATCTTAGCTATTGTGAATAATGCTGCAATAAGCATGTGAGTACATATATCTCTTTGAGACACAGATTTCATTTCCTTTAGATATCTACCCAGAAGTGAAATTGCTGGATCATATGATAGTTCTGTTTTTAATCTTCTGAGGAACCTCCATACTGTTTTCCATAATGGCTGCACCAATTTACAATCCCACCAAGAGTGTATACAGGTTCCCTTTTCTCAGTACCCTCACCAACACTTGTTATGCTTTGTCTTTTTGATAATAGCCATTCTAACAGATATGAGGTAATATCTCATTGTCATTTTGATTTGCATTTTCCTGATGATGAATGATGTTGAGCACCTTTTCATGTACCTATTGGCCATTGTATGTCTTCTTTTGACAAAGGTCTGTGCAGATCCTTAGGCCAAGTCTTAACTGGATGATGATGATGATGATGATGATGACCTATTGAGTTGTTTGAGTTCCTTATATATTTTAGATATTAATCCTTTATCAGATACATGGTTTCAAATATTTTCTCCCATTCGGTAGGCTGCCTTTTCATTTTGTTGACTGTTTACTTTGCTGTGCAGCTTTGTAGTTTGATGCATTTCCTCTTGTATTTAAACAGGATCCCCAGGGGATGTGGAGGCATGCTGAAGTAGGAGAAGCACAGCTCAGGATAGAAATAGTGTTGGGTCAGACGATGGACTCTGAAAAACAAACTGAGGGTTCTAGAGGGGAGGGGGGTGGGAGGAGGGGTTAGCCTGGTGATGGGTATTAAAGAGGGCACGTATTGCATGGAGCACTGGGTGTTATGCACAAACAATGAATCATGGAACACTACATCTAAAACTAATGATGTAATGTATGGGGATTAACATAACAATAAAAAATTAAAAAAAAAAAAAGAAATAGTGTTGGGTCTAGAGTGGTTCTCCTGAAATCCCACAGACAGGTCTTTTAGAATATTTATATTTATAACCAGATACTATACATGCCTCTGTTTCTGAATTATTTGTTTATAATACTTAAGAAGAAACAGACAACTGTCTAAGGGAAAGAAGTATAATTCCTCCCACTCATTATGATGAAGATGGTTTTATCAGTTGCTTTCTTCTGGGAGAGAGTCCAGGGAAGGTACAAGAAGAGATGAATAGAAGGCTATACATCATCTTTTCTACAGTTAAAGTGTCCAGAAGAGCCAAACAAATTTTAACCTCATTTCCCCAATGATTCTGACATTTTGCAATTTCTTTATCTCCTTGTAGTTTTTTTTTCTTCTGCACAATGGTGCATATATCCCTGTAAGCTCAAGAAATTAGCCATAACATGAGTTGAATAATCTCCTGCCTAGTAATGTTTTATATATCCTTCGGGGTACCACATTAGAAAGCAATGAAATCCCAAAAAGGGATTATGGGGGCATAATCAAAAGAGTGCTTTAAATTAAATAGTTCTTCTAATTCATCTCATAGAACAATGGGCATACAGAAATGTTGGCAATAAAGTTTAGCCATTATATATTGTATTACAAATAAATATATTAATGCTGTAAACCAGAAGTAGCTTCTATCATTAGAAGGAAAAATCTCACAGATAAAATGAAAACTCCCTCCCCTAAAATAAATGTTGGGGCATAAATGATCATTTCAAATGACAGTGTACCCCAACCCTGGGCCAAACTACTAAAGACAAAAAATTTTAAAACTTAATCAAATAGAAAATGACTATAATTGGATGTAATAGCAATCCTAATATTTTATTTATTCTGTTAAAAGGAAGTCTTAATTTGCAAAGGCTCATTTATACCATAGCTTTTAAAATGCAACCTTAAAGGACACTGTGGATTTTAAGGAAGGATCATGTAGGGTGGACATAGAAGGTCAAACTTAGATTCTATTTACCAGGATAAAGGATGGAAAGATAATTGGACTGTTTTGTGTGTTTGGACAGTGTGTGTATGCTCCTCAGAAGCTCTGTTCCTTCAGGTCAAGAATACAGAACCTTCTCTCCATGTAGATTTTAACTACTTTATAAACAAACAAAATTTTGTAATCAACATTTTTTGAACGTATACTCTGAGCAATACATCTTATAAGATGCCAAATTGAACAAGCTAAGTAAGTCCATAAAAGATGAAACCCTGGGGTGCCTGGGTGGCTCGGTGGTTAGGTGTCTGCCTTTAGCTTGGGTCATGATCCCAGAGTCCCAGGATCGAGTCCCATGTCCGGCTCCCTGCTCAGCAGGGAGTCTGCTTCTCCCTCTGACCCTCATCCTGCTTGTGCTCTCTTTCTCTCTCAAATAAATAGATAAAAGTCTTTAAAAAAAAAAAAAGGTGAAACCCTGACATGTGGTAAGGATTTATTTATTTATGAGATAGACTCTTATTCAAAAAATTAACATTTTTGTGCCATACTTCTAATTGTCATAAGCACCCTTATTATCAAACAGTATCCCTGCCAGACCACCACTGGGAGGACAAGTTTTAAGAAAACTGAGGGAAAGCAAAATAGGGCCTTTAGTTGCACATGGGCCTTACCAAGTTCAAACAGCCAGAGAGGACTCTTAGCAACAGAATTTTCCATCCAGTTCATAGCATGATACTTGGGGGCTTTTCACATCAAAGCATTACCCAGTGACAGAAAGTAACTACTCAAACAACAACAAACGAGGTCACAAAGATCATCACATTTATTGCCAAAGTGGAAAAAGAGGCATGATTTCCAGAGATGCCTTAATTAATGAAAAAGAAAGGAGGGGGGTGGGGGATGGGTTAGCCTGGTGATGGTATTAAGGAGGGCACGTATTGCATGGAGCACTGGGTGTTATACCCAAACAATGAATCATGGAACACTACATCAAAAACTAATGATGTACTGTATGGTGAGTAACATAACATAATAAAAAAAAAAAAAAAAAAGAAAAAATTTTTTAAAAAAAAGAAAAAGAAGGTAATTTCTTAAAAGCCTGGCAGTGGAAAGTAACCCACCAATAAGCATGACTTTTCCCTGCCCACATTTTAGCCCTTATTAGACACCGAATTGCTTTAAAATCATATCTCTAGCAGGCTCGGGTTTGGTAATCTGCCCAATTAATGAAAGCCTGTTCAGCAGAGCATTCTTTATTACCTTTTAATCTTTTTGATTTCTTTTGTCTCCTCCCCCAACAGAGCATGTTTCAACATCAGTCCTGAATCTATTTTCTCTTCAGCGACTCAGCGTAAGCCTGGAGGGCAGCAAATTTCCTCAGTGCCAGGTCAAGGATGAAAGTTTGGAGGAAGTGACGCAGAACTTGAAAAATGAGAGTGGAACTGACAGCCCCTACCCTTCGTCCCAGATAGGTCACCCCAACATTAGCAGAGGTGGCCTGAAGGCTTCTCATCTGACGTAAGAGATGGACTCAAAGGTAGGAACATGGGAATCAGCCTCACTCAAGCTGTTGCATCCCTCCAAGTATCTACCCATCCAGCAAAAATGTGCTAAGGTCCTACGACGTGCCTTAAGAGAGGAAGACTAAAATAGCTGCTGCTCACACAAAGTTTTCTTTTTCTACCTCCCCCTCTCCTTCCATCTGTGTCAGCGGGTTGAGTTTTCTACTGAACAACACTGGGATTAATTTGTACATCCATTCCCCAGGAGTCAGACCTAATCCCCTTTGCAACTCCATTTAAACCACCAGGTAGACATCAGCCAGTAATTGGCTTGACTCCAAATTTAATACACAGGCAGCCTCAGGGTAGGGACTTGGATGCCCATCTTCAGAAGTGGCTATCAGAATGAAATCAATCATGTCTGACTATACATGTACTGGAAGCCATTAACAGCTGAGGCAATTTTTTTCTTCTTGGGCTCCAGTAGACTTATGATTATAAATAGCTTCACCTGTAACAAGATGTGGTCAGTCCAGAGGGAAGATTCCAGGAGGCTTAGGGCCCAGACTGCTTGGATAGGACATTGAGAAAATGACTGAATTGCTGTCTCGATTCTGTCCATTAGGGGGATCAGAATATATATGACCAATACACTGAAAAATATGGGCTAGAATGAAAAAAGCCATGTGGGTTAAGTGTGATGAACCAGAACACACTTGAGTCAAAATCACAGCTCCAGCACAAAATACCTTTATAACAAACAAACATTTTTAAACTTCTTAAAATGCTTTTAAACTTTTTCTTCAGTTTCCTTTTTGGAAAATTAGAGATAATAATTGTACAAACATCCTAGAATGATCATGAACATCAAATGAAATAATTTACATCAAGCATTAGTGCCCAAAAAAGATAAAAAAACAAAACAAAAACACCTCCCACCCATAGGACTTCCTTTAGAAGAAATAAGGTCATATGGCCTCTCTTCTACCCTTCTTCATTAAGATATTGTAAAGATCAGTAGAATAGATATAAAGAACAAGTACTTTGAATTCCTGAAAGGAAATACAGTATGCATTTGTAAAATATCAGTATTACAGTGTTCAAATTTATTAGTACATCCTGATGGATGCTGGTTTCGTTATCCCATTCACTGGCTTAGAAGCCGTTAGTTCACCTGACGGACATGTAAGCACAACAATATAGGAGATGGAGTGATGGCAGGAGGAAGCAGGAGGGACAGACACTGTAAATACCAACATGAATCCCAAGTTATAAGCACTACAAGGAGTCTCAAGGTCTGTGCTTATGTCTTATTTATAAATTAAACTTTCATTTTTCCTTGTTTTGTTTTGGTAGTCAAAGCAGTGGAAATCCTAGAAATACTCTTCAACCTTAGACCATAGCATACAAAATGAGAGTGCCATCCACTGAACCGAGCTCCAAATGTGGAGATTGAAACCACTATAGGAAAGGCAGCTGCTAGTGCTGCGCTGAAATCCTGTAACAATCTTTGGAAAGAAACCAAGCAGGAAGAAAAGAAACTTTCTGTGTCTGTCTAGACTTCATCTCTTCAGAACTAAACCTCATCTCCCAGGGCCATTGCAAGAGGGTGATAATTAGGATTAGCTACAAAGTGGCTATCTGCCAACTATCTCATAATCAGCCTTCACTTACTCCCATCTATCTCATGCCACCATCACTGTTTTCATTAGCTGCAAATCATGAGACAACAGCCCGAGAAACTAGCCAGCAGACTATGTTACATTCAGCTGTTCACCTTCACAAGGATCCATCGCAAATTTTGAGTGATCTTCAGTGAGAAAGTGACAAGTCATTTCTAAACTGTCCTCAGCAAATCAATCTCTCTAGCTAATCATTAATGACACTTCAGTAGCTACTGATACTTGGAATGAAAAGTTCAATAAAAATGATAAGTCTCCCAATCTATCACCATGGGAAAGAGTCATTCTTGCTATAACAGAGAAAAGAGCTTCTAGTGAAATATCATCAAGTAATAAATGGTTCTGAAAATGTTTTTCAATAGGTCTCTTGGATCTAGCATGGGTTAGCCCAGTATTTCCCAAAGCGTGATAGTCATCCCATTAATAGTATCCAAGAACATTCTATGTACAATGTGGATGAATATTTTAAAAAACGGTTATGTATTAGTATTAATTTTAATATTTTAGAAGTATAATTATCCATTAAGCCCATGATTTCATATGCATCATTTATTAGGATGAGACCACAATAAAAAAGGTGATACAAAGAAAAATATTAAGTAAATAATAGAAAAGGTACTCGTGGACAAGACAAAAACATATGGAGGTGGCACAGGAATGACTCAGGCTGATGAGAGTTCCTGTGATTACTAAAAGAGAAAGTTTCCTCATCCTCCTAACCCGACTATGAGCTTCACATTGCATGAGCTGTTGCAGAAGGGCAGACAAAAACAGGCATGCACTTGACTCTTGTGATCATGCTCAGGCAGGTGACAAAAGCATCAGTGGACAACAAGGCATTGTGTTCTATGAATCTTTGAACATCCTAAGTACCTCCGTAACAGATGCTTAATAAATGTTTGAATAAATACCAATCCATATCTTAACTTTATGAATATTGCAAAATAATATCATCAACAAAACTTAATATCTAGCTGCAAGGAAACTGCAGCTCTAGGAATGACACCTACCTTGGGCACCATCTTCACGTGGAACAGTATACTTCGAAAGAAATGTCCATCATTGGCCTGTAAGACTGCAACATCAGATACGCTCTCTGAGCCATCATGAGCATAGTGGAGAAGGCCCCTGGAGAGTTCATCCAGCCGGAATTGATAGATTGGGGTTGCCGGGGACTGAAGTGTTTGAAGCAATTGGCCATGAAGTGGAGGACCAAGCACTTGGACCACCACATCCTGTGGGTTGTCGTCATCTCGGATGTCGAGCAGCTGGGTAGTGATGGTTCCTCTCTCTCCTCTGCTGATACGGAGGGCCTCATTTCTCAGCACATAGGGGGCCTGAGGAGTTGAAGGGAAGGAGGAGGAGAAGTCATTTAGGAGGAAAAGAGAGGACCACTCAGTGGACTAGATACAGTTGTGCACAACCTAAGTGATAATTCTATGCTTTTGAAGGAACTCTTGATGCTCCAGCAAAGTGCCAAACTGTGGCAGAGTCAAGGTATTTGTCAGAGGTGTGGGCAGTCATAGTAATCAGAGCAAGTGAGATTACTTCACACTTCTGGTTCTGGAGGCTTCTCAAGACATGTCAAGGCCACTGGAGGCAACTGAGATGAGCTACTTATTTCCGAATCTCGGAAGTCTCTGCTATCTGGATTTACACTATATCCCCTGCATTGTAACTGAAATCAGCCCAGAGTCAGGGATCCCAACCAATTGTCTGCTTCCAAGAGAGAACAGTAAGAGGCATGGAAGTTTTGCACTTGTGTTGGGAATTGAGCACCTCACTCCAGCTACATTGCACTTGGGGTAAGATACTTCTGATTCTGAAATCATGCAATATCTGGTCCCAGGCAATAATTTTCTTTAAGCCATCTCATTCATATCTTGAAGGGCCAACTCAGGTTTTAAAGCCTGATAAGATCACGGTCTGAGTAAGACAACCACCTGGCTAATTCACGTGGTAAACTTTCAGATGTTTTTCTCAGGATTATCACGTTTCCCCTCACCAACTTGAGTAAGCAAATAAAATATTCTTTCATAAAGATAAAAGTTAATGAACCACAAAAGGAAAAATTACCAAAAAAAAAAAAAATTGAGGCCAGAAGCCAAAGAAAACATTCTTAGTTTTTTATATTGTTTGAAGTTGAACCATCTAGGACTTTTTTCGGCACATTGCCTTCTTTAATCCAAATGGCTCTTTTCTAAAACTTTCTTTTAAAACTACCCTTCCTGGCCTCGTGGAAATTTCAATATCTATTGGAGTAATGTCTAACTAATGTGTCATTGTAATAGTCACATAGTAGGCAGCTAGATGACAGCTACGCCTCAGAATTCCCAAGCGAGAATACAGAAGCTGTGATTCTAGATACGTGGGGATGAAGGGCCCCTTGGATTCTGAAAGAGGAGTGGTCAGAAGGTGATGTCAACATCCATAAATGGAAAAGACCAAATTAACTCACATGAGAAAATCTCAGGGAGGTTTAAGACCATATTGAAATATCACAGGAAGGTAAAGGAACAAAAATAAGTTCAAAGTGATTTCTAAAACTCCATTTTAAAAAAAGTCAAAATGAAACAAGTTTCTCATATAATAAATAAAATTTAAAAATGCTGCCACTATCTACTCACTTGCTTTGGGGAAGACAAGCAAACAAAACTCAGGGAACCACAGGAACTCACGGTCTCAGATGAGAAAGGCACTTGCCAGTACCTACCCTGTCTCTAATTCACCTAATTAGAGTAACTATAGTAATACAAACAAAAAGAACAAAACAAAACTTCTAAGTCAGACAGTCCTCAGACCTGATGTGGCCCTCTGGCCCATACTTACAGAGATCACATGCTTTAGTTTTTCGTTGTTTTTTGTTTTTTACATGTTTCAGTTTTAATTAAAACAAAATTCATACTCTTAGCCCAACAGTGAGGTCAAATGAACCTCAGATCAATTTCTAATCATCCCTCAACTTCAGTCACCCCCGAAGTAAGAATGCCATCAAGAAGACAGAGCCAGCCTGTGAACACCATTTGGGAGCCACTTCGGGGTTATGTCTGTATTATCCACAGTCCATGGTCTTTTCATGTTTGGACCAAAATTTAAAAAAAAAAAAATCAGTTTCAAAACAATAATCTCATGTCCTTCCTTGAATCATGACTAACACTCCACTGAGGTCTGGATATTTAGGTAGTCTTGGTTCCCCAGGCTGATATCCCACTGTCTTGTTGTTCACAACTTAAGACTCTGTCTGTCTTCTTACTCTCTTTGCACATTTTAGCCGTTCAATCCCTCAAGCTCAGTTATTCAGATCATCTACAGCTATATGTATTCTGGACACATAAGTACATCTTGACAGAGATGAGTGATGGGAACAGAAGAGCCATCACACTGAGTTTTATAGCATCTACCATGATTTCCTCAGACTTCTGTTTGGCTGATGACCACACTGGCACCTTATTTAAGTAGATCCTTAATGAGATGCTCTAACCTACGGCAAACTGATGAAAATGTAGCCCAGCTACATGACAGATAGGCAAAAGTAGTTGAATATAATTTCACATCCCTGAGAGAGAAATATTTAGGCAAAACAAACTCCTTTACCTAAGATAAGGAAAATCTTAACAATTGGAACAGTTTCAAATTATTCTGAAGGGCTGGTATCAGATTCAGTATAGTAAAGTAAGGCACCATAAATTAGTGGGCAAGAGCACAGACTCTGTAGCCAGATTTTCTGGGCACAAATCTCGGCTCTTCATTTATTAGCTATCTCATCATAGACAAGTTACTTAACCTCCCTGTGACTTTAGTTTCCTCATCTGTAAGTTGGGGAAAACAACAGCTCATAGGGCTGTCATGAGGATTAAATGAAAAATACAAAGAAGAAAACTATAGACGTATTAGCAATTAGTTGTTGTTGCTGTTGTTCTGACCCACAAGTTCTAAAAATTATTCCAGTGGTATTTCATGGAGAATCTGAGACTAGCTTAATTTAGGTCATTTTTGTTATAACTAGTAGAAACCTTGACTCACGCATGTGAAATTATTAATTGTGTAGCATTGTTATTACCTGTATTGAAAATGCTTGTATGTTGATCAGCTGTGGCTCAGAGAAGAACTGCTGGTCACTAACTTTCAGGGAAAAATAACCTTTCCTAAAAGAAGTCCCCAAGAAAGGAATGAGAAAATGCAGTCATTAGTCTCTAGAAAAACAAAGATTAAAAATATCTTCAGCTTATGTGCATGGAAGAAATTAGATCAAACCACTACAGTGATATAATATTCATACTATAAATGAAAATAACCAGATGAAGATGAACACAGTGACATACAGGTAAAACTACGGTGTATTCTCCAATCTCAAAATAATGTAACAATTACATAAACTTTTTGGTTTTGATTTTTCTAAAAGGACTATATAAATGGTTGAAAAACCAGTTTTTGGCCAAGACAGGTTAGTAATATAGTGAAGGCTAATAGTTAAATTAGAGAATGGAAAGGAACCTATCAGAGTAAGAGTAAAAAACAGATCAGGGGTTGCCAGAAACTGGAGGGAAGGGAGTCCCAGTAAAAAGGAGAGCTTGGGGGTTTGATGAAACTGTTTCAAACCTTGCTTGCAGTTGTGGTTTCAAACTGCCAGAATGTCCACATTTGTGAGCACTCACAGACCAGTACATTTCAAGATGGGGGATTTTATTGAACCCAAAATAGACCTCCATAAACCTGATTTAAAAAAAAAAATCTTGTCTCCCCTCCCATTTCATCCTCCCCTTGATTTTCTGTCCCATTTAGGTCCTTGTCCCTCTTCACTCCCATCTCCAGACGTCCAGGGAAAGCAACTGAGGGAAGCAACAGAAAGAAATAAGAAGGGGTGGTTACTCCTAACCTACGGGGGGAAAATGACGTTTTGGTGGCACTGACGTTCTGATAACTGCTTAGCATTCCGCTTGCCACCATGGGCCGTATTTGCAGGTTGTCTTGTACTCCCCAGAAGCACTCTGACCCCAGAGGAATCCAGTGCTGAAGAATCACGGTCAAATTTTCATGAGGAAAAACAAAACCACAAACCCATATGGCAAGCTGCCCCTTTTGTTTTTGTATCATTTGGCAACTTATAGAATGTTCTTTTTTCACAAATCACTACCAATCTTATTTTCCTGTTCTTTTGTTTGAATTTTTAGAGAAAGAAGATCTGATGCTAAAATGGGTACCCCAAAGTAAAAGGAGTGCTGAAAGAATTCCCTGCAAAATCGTCACCACTCTTTGTCCTATTTGGGGGTACAGAGCTGACTCTGGAAGAAAACAGGTGATGAGAGATTGAAGAAGTGAAACAGACAAGAGGAGTAACTTTGATTGTCTAGGGGGCTTTATGAACTTTACCCACTTTTCACAAGATTCCAAGGCAAAGGACTACACGTACGGAGCCGTGTGTGTGTGGTGTGTGTGTGTGTAATGCAAATAATTAAGAACTACACTTGAAGCAAAATGAATGCAGGACTTTGGAGCATAAATCTGAAAAGTGATTCTATGGCATCAGACGCCTGAGTTTTAAGTTCCATCTGTAGCAATATGTCTCTGTACAAGGATCTTTTGCCCCTTGAGGATGAAAGCACACCCATTACTCCTAGTATTATTCAGGAGGCAGAAATCATAGTGGCTAAAGGCATGGGCTGTGGAGTCAGAGAGCCAGGGATTGGAGACTTGGCTTTGCTTATACTCTCAAGGCCTCAGTTTCCCTATCTGTAGACTGGGAACATAAATATACAGCGTTCACATGAAGTGTTTGCTACAATGCCTGGGTCATAGTCAGCGCTCAGTAAGTATCAGTTGTTCTTATTCCTATAAGATGGTCTTTTGAGGTTCTGGCTCTGAACCGCAATAAAGTGTCATCACTTTTCTCCCCACCTATCTCCTAGCCCAAACTTTAAAACAACAACAACAACAAAAATCTCCAGTGGTGACAGTAGAAAATATTTACCGTGAATATCTGAATCCATTGCTAACATATATAGTCTACTCTGAATTATCTGGACTAATGAAGCAGAGCTGGGTGAAGGATAATCCACAGGGCTAATCTTTGGGGTGTATTCTCTGATTCTTGTTTAGCAGATTTACTCTGCTAATTATATGATTCTATTTGCCTGGGTTAGTGTTAACATTCAATTGCATTCCTGAAGCATATGTCAGCTGGGGTGAGGAAAACAGCCAGAAGTGTGCTAGGCATCAGAGGAAAACTGGATCCGGCTTAAAAATTAACCACAATTAATCCCATAAAGTGGATAATAAAAAGTTGTGACTCTTAGCTTCCCTCCCGCTCTGGAATTCTAGGAACCATATAACACTTTGAAAAGCATGTGCTCCATCTTCTAGCCACTGCTCACTCCCAGTATATCACCCTAATGTTGAAGAAGCAGCTGTAGCAATCTGTGTAGATAACCAGTTTTGTTTCTGTTGGGCCAAAAATACTGGGTAATTGTCCTAGGAACTTTCCTGTCACATCAGAGAATTACCCACAATTATGTGATAAAATGAAAATGCCTCTAACAGAAGCATACTCTCGGAGCAATTACAGGGAAATAATGACAGGCAGCTGAAAGCGTTGGCGTGTTTGGAGTATTGATCTTCCCCACAGGAGAAGGGATAGCTATTGAGAAGCGGGGGCGGGGCGCAAAGCACTGACAGGAGGCACAGGAAAGGAGGCAGGAGGAAAACAAAAGAACACTGAGTCACCTGGGCTTTTCTTTGCTGTGCACAAAATGCACTTTTTTCTCATTCACATCCTTCCAGCTAAAATGGCCAGCCTTGTCGAGCTGAACCTCTTTTCCATTCCTCGACAGCATCAGCTGACCATTGGTGGGAGTGCTCACAACATGGAACTGGAGGTCTTCCACCCTGCCATCTTGGTCTTGGACATTCAGAAGGGGAAAATCCAGTGGCTTCATTGAACCAATTGCAAGGGTGAGAGAACCATTCACATGAAGACTAGGAGTGTATATTTTGCCTGGAAAACAGAGGATCCAAAGATCAGACTTGGCATATTCACTAATAAGGTTTTGGGTTTTTTTAATAAATAGACTCGTAATGTTCATTCAGAACTGAGACTCTAGGCTATTGTGCACCATAAGCCTCCTTCTAATTCAGTGATTCTCACCCTGAATGCATATGAAAATAACACAGATTCTTAATGTTAAAATATAAACTTCTAAAAGAAAATAGAGGATAAAATGTTCATGATCTTAAATTAGGCAATGCTTTCTTCGATATGACACAAAAAGCATGAGTGACAAAAGAAAAAATTGATAAATTGGACCAAAGTTCTTCAAAGGGCACCAGTAAGAAAGTGAAAAAGACAACCCATAAAGTGGAGGAAAATATTTGCAAATTACATATCTGAAAAGGGACTTGTATCCAAAATATATATAAAAAAATTCTTACAACTCAGGAAAAGACAAGTAACCCAATTTAAAAATAGGCAGAGTTTGAAAAGGCATTTTTCCAAAGAAGATATATAAAAGGCCAATAATTATGTACATGAAAAGGTGCTCAATGTCATTAGTCATCGGGGAAATGCAAATCAAAACCACAATGTGATACCACTTCATACCCACTATGAAGGACAATAAAAAGTATTCCTGAGGACGTGGAGGAATTAAAAATCTTATATATTGCTGGTGGAAACATAAAATGGTGCCGTTTGGCAGTTCCTCAAACAATAACAGAAGTACCCTATGATCCAGTAATTCTACTTATAGGCATATACCCATAAGAACTGAACACATATGTCCACATAAAAACTTGTACATGAATGTTCATAGCAGTTATACCTAAGAGCCTCAAAGTGGAAACAACCCAAATGTCCATTAATTGGTGAATGAATAAACAAAATGTGGTATATCCATGCAATGGAATATTATTCAACCATGAAAAGAGATGATGTACTGATACATGTTCCAGTGTAGAGGAACCTTGAAAATATTCTTGCTACATGAAAAAAGCCAGACATAAAAAGCCACATATTGTATGATTCCATTGATGTGAAATGTCTAGAATAGTTAAACCCACAGAGACAGAAAGTCGATCAATGATTGCCAGAGACTGGGGCAAGGGAGCACTACAGAGAGACTGCTAATTGTTATTGGATTTCTTTTTAGGAAGAATAAAATGTCCCGGAATTAGATAGTGTGATGGTTGCATAACCTTGTGAATATACTAAAAACTACTGAATTGTATACTTTAAAGGGTGAATTCTATGGTATGTGAATTATATCTCAATAATAACAATAAAAAATCATACAGGGACCTTTTAAAACAGTACTGATACTTGAGCTCCACCATCAGAGATTCTGTCTTCGGTGTTCTGGGGTGGGCATCTCAGTGACTTCACAAGCTCCTCAGGCAATCCTAATGGGACTTCCAAGTTTGAGAACCACAGTCCTAACCTAATACTTTGATCACATCTGACCATCAGACCCATTAAGGGTAAAGAAAAAAGCAAACGTCTGATACCATTTGCTCGAACAGTACCAGTTAATCTGTAATGAAGTATGATTATCAGTGGCTTATATTCAGAATTCATGTGAAGTGTACCCATTTTGATTTAAAATTTTACTATCTCTGCCCATAGGAAACATCTGATGGATAAATATCTGATCATGATGTGAAATTCATCCTGTCTCCTGCAAGGTGTTTTGCCCAGACTTGGATTGTTAATGTTTCCTTCTACAAGTAGGTCGGACAGGACAGTTTGGGAATGCCAGGTTTCAAGAGGACTACGTCCACTCTAAGATTACTCTAATGAAAGTGGAATTCATTTTCACAAGTTGACTTGTATTATGTCCCAAGAGGAGTAGGTTGACTCTCAAGTACTTGGGGTTTCCAGAAGGATCCCAATAAAATGAGCCAAAGATGTCTTTTTCCCATGGGAAGTCTTAATATCTTTGGAGGTCAGAAATTTAGAGACGGAAAATGTGATTGACTGTGGGTGTTAAAATATGCCTCGTGTCATTGATGGACACTTAAAAGCTGAGGAATGCTCAACTATACTATAATTCTCAAGCTTCATTCAGCTATAAAACTTTGGGGTTCAAAATTATGACTGAATTTAAATTTGCTTCTCTTTTGTTGTTTAAGGTGAAGTGTCCATTAATGTGTTGGACAAGACTAGATCAATTCCCTTAATACGTCACCTTATTCTTAATAGGAGAGTGGCTCGGAATCTATTTGCTTCAAACATGACCCTAATGGGGCAGTCTCCTCACACTACTCATTATTTATTTGTAATTTATCTCCAGTATGTCCACAAAGGATGCACCATTGAACCACGGCATAATTAGCTCTGTAAGTTTATATATATGCAAATAAATTATATGTATATAGGTAATTTTCTATAACATAGCTGTAGTTCTGAAACACAGCTAAGTTTTATGCCAAATTTCTGATCTGATAGTTGTTACTTTTAAAGCACAGATTCTTTTTCCCAAAGATCTTAGAGGTTGAGTTTCCCCAACGTCCATGTCCTATAAACAATTCCTCATTCCTCTGTATTCCTAGAATGAGAATCCTGCATTTCATATCACATGAGCTGACTGTATCTACAAACTCAGCCTCTGCATGGAGAAATTACAGGTTAATATCCAGCAGAGCATCTGACAAGAAGCACTTACCAGTGCAGGTTTCATTAGAGCGGGCAGAGAAGCCAGGAATGCAGTTGGAAACACAAAGGCCACTCTTCAAAAAGAACCCATGGTCACACTGGTGACACCAGTCCCGGCGGCTACACCGCAAGCACGCCCGAGGGCAGGCTGTCAAAGAAAGGCCACAGTAAGTGAGGCACAGCAAAGGCACAGGCAGCCAGCGAGGGCCACCAGCGACAGAGAAAAATAGTGACAGCACGAGCAACACACGACCCCCAACTGCAGCAACAGGGAATTCCAACGGTTTCCTCTAGAATTTCACAGGGAGCTGCTCTACCCTCAGGAGGAGAGCGAACACAGAGGCGCGCTTTCACTTAATGCACTGTGATGTGAAAATGTTGCACATACACGGACAGTATGAAGAGTTAGGCATACTGACTTGTAAGGGAGGTGGTGTGCAGGGATTAAGAGCACAGGCCCTTTCTGGGTACCATTCCTGCTCTACCACTTATCATCTGTCCACTTTGGGACAATTTATCCTTTAATCATCTGTGGTGTGATTTCTCATTCTAAAAATGGGGATAGTAATAGCATCTGATGCAAGTCACTGTTGGGAGGATGTGTTACAATGTGAAGAGACTAGAACAGTGCCTGGCATACAAAAGGACTCAGCTGTACTACTAATGTCACTGCATCATCATCATCATCACCATCATCATCATTATCACCATCATCATCATATCATCATCATCATCATCATTATTATTTTAAATGCAGGAGGAGAGCAAGCTCATCAAAGGACCCTAGGATTATTTCTTTGGGTCAAGTTAATAAACTTCTACAAATCAAGTGTTTACTGCCCAATTTTTCTGCTTCCTTAATTAAGATTTTATTATACAGACGTAGTAGAGTGTAAGGGCCCAGAATTGGAATCAGAAAACTTGGGTTTAATATCTGATTTTATGTTGCCTTGGTTAATACTCTTAAGCCATTCTTTCTTTTTTTTTTTTTAACTTGTAAAATGGGATTCCCAGTGTTTGCCATATTTTACCACCAACTCATTGTGAATATTAAGTGAGATAATGAAGACAGAGGAATGTGGTGAAACGTAAAATGCCATGCCAGGGTCATGGCTTTATTATTAAATGTCAGGTTTTCTTCAAAGTGGGGCATATGATATCAAGTTTTAATGGAAATGATGAGAACAAACTGCAGAAACTCTCGTGGATAACCCAATGGACAAGGAGATTAAGGCTTTGGGTTGAACTTTAATGATAAAAGTTCAGTGTATCGCACTAAACTGTCCTCAGAAATCCTACTCAAGGATATTGTGCCAAAATCAGGGTCACCCGTAATTTAGTCTACACACTGAAAATTCTGTGCCCATATCAATAGAGGTGATCCGCTCTTAATGGATACCTCACCTTAGTTCAACATAAGCCTTACATTCCATAAAATATTGGCCTAATTTCCATAAAGACCCTTAGAGACAATATTGATTTGTGCAAGACAATTATTGGCCTGCACTTCTATATTCTATTTAACCAGCAATTGGCAGATGTGCATGGGAAGCCATCAATTTCTAAGTCCTAGCTATCTGGGTTTTCATTCTGCTTCTAATTCAGATTCTCCTTGGTTACCTGAGAATCAACACACCTGATTTACTTGTGGCCCTCGCTTTTTTCCAGGGGACTCAGCAGTCTCCGAGTTACCTGTGCATTGTCGATTTGCGTGATCTGCAAAGTACCCCTTGCCACATTCCTGGACACACTGGGCTTCCAACAGGAGATACGGCTCTTCACAGCGAGTGCATTCATGGGGACCTTGGCACTGGACACAGTGGTTGCTGCAGCCTGAAAGACAAAAGTCAAATCAACAGAACTGTGTATAGCTTTCCAGGGGGCTCCTGGGCCTCGCAGGGAGGCAATATTAGACACCAAACAGCGATATGACCTGGTGTGCTGGGCCAGGCAGAAGACGAGGAGTCAGGAGCCAGGCTTCTGGTTGTGACTACTCTTACTTACCCAGCAGGGTGACTTAGGATCAGATATTCGGCTTCTCTGAGCCTCAGTGCTCTCTCTCATACTGACCCACTCAGCTTGCTGGGCCAAGATTAAAGTAAATAATGGAAAACACTAGGCACACCTAGAAACTACAGGTATTAGCCATTATCATTACTATTAACTAGTCCGTGGTTCTCTTACTTTCCTGACTCACCCAGTCAGTTATCAGTCTCCCAAGAATGGTCCCAGGAGTGCCATCTGTGCATTTGGGGGGCATTTCAGGGTCAGAAGATTTTGTGGTGTTAAATCAAGGCTAAAGGGGGTGGCGTTCAGAGAAAGGTAGTGCTGAGACATCTGGTACATGCAGGGCTTCAGGGGACAGATGGGAGAATATGATGCTCCTTCCAGGTGCTCAAATGACCAGAGTATACACACCTCCCCATTTAGAGGACAGAATTATTCAGTGCACTAAGAAATCCATAGTCATCACCAAAACATACCTGTTTATGTGGCCCTATACTCCCAAGATTCCCATACTGACCTCACATTTTAGCAAATATCATGTATGGGAGAAGGAGAGAGGGGGCATTTTGACTAGAACAAAGAAAAGCTCCTAGGAAAGAAACCAGAAATTGGACAAAAAGCCAGAAAGGAAACTTGCCACAGACTCCTTGTCAGAACAGTAAAAATTGGAGGAGGCTTGAAGGCTGGATGAGAACAGAGCAGGAGCTCCGGACACTTACTTTTACAGAGGCCCAAGTCCCTGTAGAAGGATGGTGAGCACTGCTCCACGCAGGCCCCGTCCTGGAGAACGTAGCCATCCATGCACTGCAGGCAGTCTGTCCTCAGGGGTCCGCTGCACGCATTGCAGCTCCAATCGCACTCTAGAAAGGAAGTCCACGTGAGATCACCTTCACCTGTCCGCCCTCAGTCCCAGTGACTAATTTATGAGGACGCGGTCTGCAGTGGCAAGGGGTAAAGTGAGGACACCAGGCGAGATGTCAGATAAGCCAGCTCTAACAAGGTTTCTGTTTGCAGTAGTCTGAACGCCTCTCTGAGGTTTAGTGTTTCCTAATTATGTTAGACACGGGAGTGTACAAGGATCACTCCAGGCTTGTGCAGAGCCTGCTTGTCAACGGGGCTGCCGAGGAGCCAGGTCAACTTAATCTTAGAGTTCTTGATTCCCATGCCTCGGCGTCATCAAACAAAGCCTGCTCTGCTACAGGGAGGGGCCAATTTGCCTCCACAGACTTAATCTGCACCTCCTCCAAATGCTCCACAGGGAGAGGGATGTCAGAGACTCAACGAGGAAGGCGTCTGCTGTCTCCACCAACACCGGCTGCTTGACTCTCTACCTCTCAAGAATCAGGGGTCGACCCACCCAACAGAAAGGACCAATGATGTTAGAATTAAATGGAGCATCAAGGAACTGTCCAGAAAGAAAGGGCTTACAGAAATAACAGAAGATCTCCTTAGAGCAGTAGAACTGACTCATTTACATGTTATCTGCTCAATAAGCACCTATGGAATGCATAGCACTGAACGGTGGGTAGGAAGTGGGTAGACCCTGGCTTCAAGGGGCCTATGTGCTTGTGGGCTCCAACCTTGGATGTGCATCCATATAATCCAGAAGGATTGTTAGAAATACAGATTTTCTGGCTCAGCATCAGAACTACTGACGTCATCTCAAGGATTGGGGCGGGGCATAAGGAAACATGTCGGGGCCACTACTGTTGTTTCTGTTCTCATGATTATTATGGTTGTTATTATTGTAGCTGTGGCTATTAAAGGCCCAGGCAATTCCTGTAGCCAGAACACTCATGTTTGAGAGCCAAGGTGCCAGATGGTAAAGTAAGTCCTTCATGCATGGAAGGTGGGACAACACCATGTGGTTAAATACTTGAGTTTTGAAGACAGCCAAGTCTCTATTGAGGCTGTGGCTTAGCCACTGTTTATCTACATGTCTTACACACTTTCCCAAAATTCTTGGAGCCTCAGTTTCCTTATCTGTAAGACAGAGATAAGAAGAGTACCTATTTCATAACGCTATTGTGTAGATTAAAGGAAATAGTGAAATTAAAGAAGTTAGCACAGTGCCTGGCACATAGTAACAGCTTAATAAATGTTTTGCTGCCGAACTGTTTTTCTCGGAGAACATTCTGCACTCAGTTCTTCCTCACTCCACCATCCATCCCAGCTGAGAACTGAGGAAACTTCTCATTAGTCACCTTTCTCTTTTTTGATGCGATATTTCTAAGTCCCAAAGAAGCAGGTAAATGTGCAAGACAGTACATGTGCTTCCAAGGAGATTTATAAAGTTAACCCCCCTCATTTATTTGGCTGAATCAGTTCTGAGGGAGAATGACTAAAGCAGAGCCTTGAAAACTGCCAGCATAGTTATGAAATCATTTACAACATGGAGGATTTGTGATAATCTTGTTTTTCACCGCAAACTGACAACCGCTGTTTAGAAGGGAAAAAATAGAAAAGTCTGTGGTCTTGAGAACAGAGAGACCACCTAAGTTGACAACAAGTAGAATTTCTTGGAATGGAGAATGTGCAATTTTGCAAAGCCTTAAAACATCCCAAGCTTACTTGACAGATGTTTGGCCTCCATATCTGAGCCCCAGGTTCTTGGGCAGAACTGGAGAGATGGGAAACAAGTGGAATGGAGGGATGGAGGAAAACGGAAGAGAAGCAAGGAAAATCTGGCCTTCCACTCTGTTCTTCTCCTTGCTGAGCATGGCCATTTAAAGAGCATAAGCCCCAAGAATTCTAACCACTAGAGAACAAGGTACTAGGTTTCTAATATTGCTTCCTTACAAACTCCTGGAGCACAGGGACTGTGTCTTTACTCATTTAAGTCTGTTAAACAGAGATGAACAAATCAGATACAACCCCTGTCTTTTTTTTTTTTATTTAAGATTTTATTTATTCATTTGAGAG